AAACCCGTTTAGCATCTGGACTCGTGGAGAACTCGATGACATTAGCTTCCTTGTCAGTCTTCTTCTTGTCCTTCTTACTAGGAGTAGCACTCTTGACCTTAGCAGAGGACGCACCACGAGTCGTGGAAATAGTAGGATTACTTATCGCTGTAGTGGGAGTTCCGACCAACGAAGCACCATAACGAACTCGTAGCTGAGCCCACCTTCTAGTCTCAGAAATCATACTCTCCATAGTTGATACAGAAGTCATCGGCATCCTATCGAGATAGAGACGAGCTTCAGTTGGCAAACCTGAGTATAGCCGAGCTCGTAACTCACTGTCTGTAAGAGGACATTCGCGAACTTCACCGATCTGGTCTTTCATGGTCTGAATGGCGGCGATGTAAACTTCCAAAGTAGTAGGGCCATCACACTTCAGATTCTCCCATTTCCGGTGGAGCTCCATTTCGCTACCGAGATCACTATATAGTCGTAAAACTCGCCATGCAGTAACAACCCGTTGACTGAACAAAGTGTTCCCCTTCACATGGCATTGCTCATTAATCAGTTGTTGTAGAGGAGTAGATACATTATTGATGATATAGAAGTATTGGTAAGCACTTGACAGCTCCCCCGTGCCAGAAAATTGGATCTCTGGCTGATTCATAATAGTCTTCTTGAAAATCATGTAACCCCTCTTATCAGTCACACCAGAGAATCGGCCTCCCTCTATAACACCAGCAGACTTAGCTTGTTTGCTAATCTTCATGATAACCAAAGGCTCTATCACCAACGACGATTTGGCACTTCGGTCAGATTTAGTGCTATCGAGCTGTTGTTTGACCTCCTCAACAATACCATGCACTGTATTAGTAGGACCATCCTTGCTGTCAGTAGCACCAGTAGTACCATTTGCATCATGTCTGGTCTTGTGATCAGCGTTGGACTCAAGCTGTGACTTAATACCTGCAATCGACTCCGTCAACGAATCTAGCTCCTTCTTTCACTGCCAAGCCACACCAGGTGGGGGATGCTCAGTACTGCTCTTTTCTATGTCATCAGTCAGTACTGGGTCAGACG